TACTACCGTATACCAGGGGGCTTCACAGCCACCTTCAAATTTCCCACAAGCTTTCCCCACATTAGAAATTCCCAAGCAGCAAGCTCCAATGACATCCTGAGTCATCTCTAAACCTAAACAGGCCGCGGCTTGTCCCCCTTCGGGGATCCCCTCCCCGAGTCCCCTGCTCTGTGGACTACCCCTCGGTCCGCACTCTCACATCTGCACTTCCCTTTACTCCCCCGGGTGGCCCTGAACCTGCACCGAACAAGGCGGACGCTCCAAACCCAGGGAATCCCCAAGTTTTGTCACCTCAGGACCGGAGCTGGGGTGGAGAAAGGGGAACACAGAGGTTTCTGTACCCACTGAAAAGGTCGGGAGGGGTTCGGGCTGTGTTGAGCCGGGTCACCCCTCCCCCAAGGCACCCTCCCTGTCAGCCGAAGCTGGGCCCAAGAGGAGTGCAGCCTGTCAGCCGAAGCTGGGCCCAGGAGGAGTGTGCAGGGAGGGACTCGGGGAGGGGATCCCCGAAAGGGGACAAGCCTCAGAGACGGACCGAGGCCCTGCAAACCCTTGTGTGGTCTCTGACAATCCCAGGGTCCCACTCGGCCTAGGCGAGGAGAGCGGGGAGCTAGGGACAAGGATCCCCTTCCCTGCGACCCCACGTGGGCGCCTGTCTCTGGAGCGCAACTTCTCAGGCTGCCTGCCAGCAGCCCCTGACTTTGGACGCCAGAGGCCCCCCGCGCCACTGCTTGAAAGCTCTCTGCAAAGTTGGGCGCCACTGCCCTGGCAATCATGCTCATGCCTGGCTCTTCACCGCGTCCCCTTCATCCCTCTTCAAGACCTTGAATTTCCCAAGCTGGCTGGCTCTGTCAGCTCATCCCCCTGCCTCCTCAAAAGGTGGTGATTCAGTCTAAGAATAAAAAAAGCAAATCTTAAAATTCATATGCAGTTTTGGGGAAGAAAGAACATATTGTAACAAAATTCAAAAGAGCAGGATGCTGCAGAAGCAGAGTTGCTAGTTGTTGACAAATAGAAACAAGAAGGAAGCATATGCAACATATGCTCATATGTGTATCAAAAATTATACCAACATTTACACTTCTGTCCTCAACCAAATGGTTTATTTATGTGATAACTTGTCACACAAGAGATCAATATATAAAATGGGTACCTGTATAGGTGGGCCTGGGCGGGTCCAGGCTTCATGCTTGGACATTTAGTTCATGTGTACCAGACTCCAGCGTCCTCAGGCACAGGTGTACCAAGGGGTACGCTCCTCCCCGCACCGTGGACCCAGTGTCGAAGCAGCTTCCTGGGGTTCATGCACCTTCCTCCCCATTCACCAGGCTTCCCATCTGTTCCTGTCTCTCCTTGCAGGATGGGGCAGTCAGAGCTCTAAGGTACACATCCACCACAGCACGTGGCTCCACTTCCCTGGGCACAACCTGCGCTGGATCCTGACCTTCATGCTGCTCTTCGTCCTGGTGTGTGAGATCGCCGAGGGCATCCTGTCTGACGGGTGAGTGATTCTCGGGGAACTCAGGAGAACGGATCTGCTCCAGGTGCTTCCTGAAAGGCTCAGGGAGAGCCCGGCTCACCTGCATTCCATGAGCCGGTATCACTTGCTAAATGAACCCAGCAACTGTTCCCCCAGCATCTCCTGTGTGCCACTCTCTGTGCCAGGTACCAGACACAAGTGAGCCCTGCTCTCAGTGCAGCAGGGAACCCAGATCTGAATGCCACAACCCAGTGAGATCATCCCAGAGCCTATTGGAGTGCCCAACTCTGTGGAAGGTACCCAGCCTCTTCTACCAGCTGCTGGGGTTACCTTACTGGTGGGGAGGGAGGATACTCTTGCTTAAGATCTTTCCTTGGTTTCCAATTGTATATAATGTCCTTAGTCCTCAGCCTGGCATCCAGCATCCTCACAGTCAGCTCTCCGTGCCTGTAGGCACAAAGGCACCACCTAGAAAAGCAGGCGGGTTGGGAGAAGTGCATGGGGCTGAAGCATGAAACACAGCAGGTGCGTGAGCAGAGCGATGGAGGTTGAGTGTAATCGGCGGTAATCAGCACAGCACTTTTAGGTGCGAACCCTAGGGGGTGTCCAGGGCAGGTTTGGAGCCAGGGAGAACGTGGAGGTAGAAACAGCACTTAGGAGGTGATTGCAGTCATCAGGTGAGAAATAATAGCAGCTGCTTATGGCGTGTCAGCAGTTGGGAGCGCAGAAGAGGAGGGGGCGAAGCAGTCTTGTCACGAAGGAAGAACGGAAGAATCAGCAAGGCTCGGCGACTGCCGACTGCCGGCGAGGAGGTGGTGAAAAGTGCTGGCATTTGGCTTAAATATCTGAGGTCCAGCCCTTCTGAGCTGGAATCAGTGTGTGCTCAGACCCGACTCCTGCCAGCCCGGGCTCCTGCAGCTGGATGGCAGGGGGGTGGGATCCCCCACCCTCCTACTGTCAGTGTCCCTGCATCCTGGCTTCAGTGGTAATCTCTGTGATAACTGCTTGCCTTGAGGCTTCTCCTGAGTATCAGAGTCCCCAGACCAGCCAGATGACCAGAATGCGTTACAGCCACAGTGACTAGCAGGTGACAAGTCCCCAGCACCCCTTTCAAAGCACACAAATGCTAGATAGGGGAGGGATGCCGTGTGAGCCTTTAGGCCAGAAATACCCAGTAGGTTATAATTAGCAGGGACAGAGAAAGACACTCCGCCCATGGAGAAGGTAGGCCTGGGTCTTCTGCTAGCGCTTCTGCCATGTACATACCAGCTGTGGGTCTTTGGACAAGCCACCCAGCCTCTCTTTCATTCTTATGAAATGAGCATTATAATCCCTGCCTTGCCTGCTTCACAGGGCCATGGAGGATGGAATTAGAGCACAAACAGAGTGCCAGACAAGGAGTGGCAGAGCCCTGGGCAGATAGCATATCCCCAGAGCATGGGAGACTGGAGTGAACCAGGTCGAGGACTTTTCTGCCTTAGGCTGTCCAGCAGCCCCTCCTGTGTGGGCTGCACCTGTATCCCAAACCTCTCCAGCTCAGTGCAAACCACCCTCTCCTCCCCAGCAGACAGGTCAGCTCCTGAACTGGGCACTTGCTGGTCTTGGCTGGCCTCTATCTGTGGCCCCAAAACCCTGAACAAGCAAGTGTGAGGGAGGGGCATCAGAAAGGAGCAGACAGGAAGAGAAGCCACAGTCCCTGCCCTGTGGCACCCCCAGTCCACCCTGGCCTGGGTTTACAGACCTGCCTGGAAGTCTAGGGGGCAGGTGGGAGTGGAGGCTGGTTAAAGCAGTGGTCTTCAAACTTGACTTTAATTTAGGATAAGCCTCGTTTAGTGATTAATCAAGCCATCCTTACCCTGTAGGACAGTGATGGCGAACCTATGACACGCGTGTCAGAGGTGACACGTGAACTCATTTTTTTGGTTGATGTTTCTTTGTTAAATGGCATTTAAATATATAAAATAAATATCACAAATATAAGTCTTTGTTTTACTATGGTTGCAAATATCAAAAAATTTCTATATGTGACACGGCACCAGAGTTAAGTTAGGGTTTTTCAAAATGCTGACACACCGAGCTCAAAAGGTTCGCCATCACTGCTATAGGACTTCCTGTCTTCCTTTGGGTCTTATTTCTGTGTGATGCTCTGGGTTCGGAAAAACCAGAGCAGTGTGGGTTAATGAGGACGCATTTTTAAAAAATATATAAGTAGAATGTTTCCCCAGACCACCACCATACACGGCATAAAGCCCATATGTAAAAAACGGTCCCTAATTTTTTACCTAATTTAGCGTATACTACTCAGTAAAGCAGCCAACACCTATTTTACGAAGTCATGTCATGAAATATTTATTTCAATTATGGTTATTCCTCATCTTATTTCTTATAAAATATTTAGCATTTCTACTTTCTGTGGCAAAAAAATAATAATTCATTTAAACTTAAATGATGTGACATGTTAGATGTCACTTTCAAAATGTGCGAGAGTCTATAGAGTTTTTTCAAAACTACTTCAAGGAGTACAGAGGCAAGAGTTCTGAAGCCCCCTGGACCCCCTGGGCCGAGTGTTGGTTGCTCTCAGGGTCCCCACTGGTGACTGATTGCCTTGTCACATATCAATATTTTGCTGAAAATATCCATTGATCGAGGATTAAGGAAAATTGACATTTACTGTCTCATTTAACAAGAAGCCTGAAGTTGCCTTTTTTAGTTGGTGTGGTGACTTAGTGATGGCGTCAGGGACCCAGCTCTCCCCATCTTTTTACTCTACCCTCTGTGTGTCTGCTGCATCTTCTCTCATGGTCACTCATGCTCCCCACATGCCTCTTCCTCATGCAGACGTCCTCTGCAGGCTTTCCTTTCCATCTCATTGGCTGGAGTTGGGTGCTATGACCACTCTTAGACAAATCACTGGCAAAGGGGTATGGAACTGCATGGTGCTTGAACCAATCACCATCCATTCCCTGGGGCTGGGCGCATTGCTGTTGGAGCAGACTTGTAGTTCTTTTAGCATGGAAAGAGAGGAACATACCATTTGGTGAACAGCTCCCCGCGGCCTCTATACCTATGCCCTAGTCCCAACAGACCACTTGGGGTTCCAACATGCTCCCCTCTCCTTCTCTGTGGAACTCCTGCTCATCCTTCAAAGTCCAGCCTGGTGCCACCTCCCCTGTGCAGCTCCTCCACCCACCAGCTCCTTTGTGCTCTCAGCCTCTGCTCATCTGCAGTATCACTGTCCTAGGCTGTCTGGTCAGTCAGCTCTGAGGTGCTTGCCCTCTCTCTACTGTCAGCTTGTCGAGGGCGGGGGCCTTTCTGGGCTGTAGAGAAGGAGCAGTGCAAGCAAGAGCAGCCCGAGACGGGACACTGGAGGAGGCCGTCTGGCAATGGGGGGATCCCAGCACGGCTTCAGTGGAAAGAGCAGCCTGGGCAATGCTAGACGAATGGTTTGAGGCTCATCACTGAGCCTGTGGTGCTGGCTGTGGGTTTTGCTGTCTATAGGAGGGAGCTTGGGAAGGGCAGGATCAGGACCAAGTAGGTGAGCCTTCTCACTGGTCTTGGGGAAGCCTCAGGTCTGGGAGGAGCTCTGGCTCCCTAGGGGTCTGATCACCAGACCAGAGCCGCCCCCCCCCAGGCCTCTGTGAGTAAAGATGGGAGGGGATGAGCTGGCATGGGCTGCCTTCATCCCCGGCCCAAAGGAGGAAACCAAGACAGTGGCCTTGGCCTTATGACTTGGCTTCATGGTATTTTATGAAGAGAAAGTGAGTTGACGTACAGGAAGCGCTAAGAACAGTGCCTGGTACACGGTAAATGCTCAATAAATATTGCCTATCAGTGTTATTATCACAGCGCCTGGGGAGGAGTAGCAATGCTGACCTGCGCTGTTCATGCTAAATGGGGCTGTCACGAAGACAGCTGTGATGCGCAGGCTCCTGCACTGCCCAGAGCACCCTGAGGACCGAGACCCCGCTGTGCTCACTCCCAGAAAAGTGGTTCCAGGCCAGACGCTCTGCAGCTGCGACTGCCGAGGCTGGCTTCCCTGCACCAGGTTCTATGAGCACGAACCCCGGGAAAAAAGGCTGTGAATCCCAAAGCCTGACCACCGAGCCTTCCTGGCATCTCTGTGAGGCCTCCTGGGCCCCTTACTTAGCGGGCACGTTTGTAGTATGACTGGGAAGAGCTGCCAGCGAATGGTGTGGAGCTGTGCATGAGTCCTGTGTGCTGAGCCCTAAGCCCAAGGCCTGGGCTGCTCTGTTGGGGTACTCAGCATATCCACATCCTGTCTGTCTGTCTGTCTGTCTCTTGCCCCTTCTCAGGGTGACCGAATCCCGCCGACTTCACCTGTACATGCCGGCCGGGATGGCGTTCATGGCTGCTGTCACCTCCGTGGTCTACTATCACAACATCGAGACCTCCAACTTCCCTAAGCTGCTGATCGGTAGGGCAGGGAAAGGGGCCGGGAGGGGTAGGAACTTCCTTTCATTCCTTTAGATCTTGTTTACTGAGGACTCCTATGTGCCAGGCACTCTTCTACGTGCTAGAGGTTCAGAAGTGGAGAAGGAAAAAAACCCTGCCATCGCGGAGCTTACAGACAGGCAAATGGAGTAAATAAACAGGTAGTGCTGGTGCTGTGACGAACATAAAGCTGAGTCAGTGGCAGAGAGCGATGCAGTGGGGCTGTCCGTGTAGAGGAGGCTTCTGATAAGAGTGAGCTTGCAGATATTTGGGGGACGAATGTTCCACGCAGATGGACCAGCAAGTGCAAAGGCCTTCTGACAGGAAGAAACTTGTCAAAGGAATCAACTGGAAAAGGGGGAAATGGTAGGAGATGAGGTCAGGGGCTTTGGGTTTGAGTGCTTAGGCAAATAGTGGTATTAATAACTGACATGGCAAAGGAGCAAGAATTGGGGTGCAGTAGAGGTCAATTTTTCTCCCTGCATGTCGAGCTTGAGATGTCGCTGAGATGCCAACTTAAATATCAAATAGGCCACTAAGTAAATGAGTAGAATTAGATAAATGGGGGGGGGCGGGGCAGGGCTCAGGGCTTGAGATGTTCCTTCCACCGTCACAGGCTTACAGGTAGCATCTCAAGCTTGAGCCCGGATGAGGTCAGCTCGAGGGAGGAGAGAAAGGCCGCGGGACTAGAACCTGTGGTTGCCAACATTTAAAGAGACTCAGGAAGGAGTGCCAGCCTAGAGCTTCCGACACTAAGTGGCTGGGGTCCCAGGCAGCAACAAAAGTGATACCTGTGGACATTTGCGGAGCATGTACTGCACGCAGGCTCAGTGCTAAGCTTCTTACGTGCCTGATCTCACTTAGTCCCACAACCTCCCTATTGCTACTGTTGCTATTCCCATTTTACAGATGTGGACCCTGAAATTCAGAAGTTAAAAATACTAACAGTGGACACTCACTTAGACTTACTAGGTGTCAGACACTATCCGAAGCATTTTACATATATTAACTCATTTAATCTTTACAATAATGCTGTGAGGTAAGCATCACTATTATTTCCCCTTGATAGGTCAGGAAACAGAAGCTCAGAGGTGCCAGGACTATGGCACCCCAACAGGGTCTTAACTGTTCTGAGACTGTATGTCTAAAGTCCTCAGGGTGTGCACGGGCCAAAGGTATAAATCCACAGATCTGCCTCTGTGTTTGGGCTCAATCTACATGCCTAACACCAGGCTGTTCATCTGGCTGGTAGGCTGTGGTCAGCCTGTGTGTCATTAAGGCACAGCATCTAATTGACATCTGGAATGTGGACCTCTCTGGACTAAGTCAGAGACAGCACAGTGTTGTGAGGGGGTCGATAGTGTTTCCCAAGCTGATCACAGGCCTACCTTCCTGTGTAAGGTGGGAGCTGAGCTCCATTGATCATCCAGGTGATCCCGCTGCCCTGGGGGCCCCGGGTCAGTGTGGCTGGGAGACAAAGGGGGGGCAGGTATGGAGGGAAATCTTAAATACAGGCTTCAGAGACCTCCCACTCTGGGTTCTGAAGCAGCTTCTCATGCACAGAGAATCCCTCATTAACTGCCTGGTCCCCCTGGATCCCCCCTATCTGGGCATCTGGTGAGTTCATTTTCTCTTTCTCTGAGAAACACATAATATTCTCCCCTTAAGGCACAAATTACCACCCATGGATGGCCCTGTCCTTCTCCAAGGAGCAAGGACTAACTCCCTCATTCCCCTTTGTCAGAGTTTTGCTCGCCACAGAGCCAGAAATTCTAGAACAGGGGAAAGTGGAATGAGAGGGGGCAGTGGGTATTTGGGGGAATAGCTGGTCCTCTGAGGAGGCTACTTTCTGATCACAGGTCTGGAGTCCCACAGAAAGATGAAGCACGATGCAGCTTCCATTGTCCCACAAAACAACCTTGATTCTGGGGCCCCAGGTGAGAACAAGGAAATGTCCTATGAAAAAGTCATGTTTGAGCTGAGAACTGAAGGATAAGTAGCAACTATTTAGGAGAAATGAGGGGAGCGCTTTAGGAAAAGGAATAGCACATGAGGCAGGAGGAACAACGCACATTAGGAAATCTGGGAGAAAAATAGTGGCTGGAGTGCAGAACAGAAGGGAGCTGAATTTTGAAGATTGGCATGGCAGATGGGGCTTGCACTAGACAGGGCCTTGAAGGCACACCATTGAGGAGTGGGGTGTGTGTGTGTGTGTGTGTGTGTGTGTGTGTGTGTAAATATGTGTGACATAAATTTTACCTTTTCACCACTTTTAAGTCTATAGCACAGTGGAATTAAGCACATTTATATTGTCGTGTAGCCATTATCACCATCCATCTCCAACATTGTTCATCTTCCCAAGCTGAAACTCTGTACCCATTAAGCAATAACTCCCATTTCCCTCTCCCCCAACCCCTCACAAGCACTGTTCTTTCTGTCTCTATGAATCTGATTACTCTAGGTACCTCATATGATTGGAATCATACTCTACTTGGTTCTTTTGTGGCTGGATCACTTATCCTAGCATAATATCCTCAAAGTTCCCCCAGATTGTAACATGTGTCAGAATGCCCGTCCTTTTTAAGGCTAAATGATAGTCCATCGTATGTGTAGACCACATTTTGTTTATCCATTCATCAGGCCACGGACACTGAGTTGTGTCCACCTTTGTCTGTTGTGAATAATGCTGCTACGAACATGGGTGCGTTGAGATCATGTTTGATATGTCTTGCTTTATGGAGGCTAGATTGGGTGAGGAGAGTGGGGAAGCCATGAGAAGCTCTCAAGGAGGTCCAGGGTAGGCACCAGGACAGCCTGGATCCGGGTGGCCACCAGGATGGAAAGAAGTGAATGGATTCAAGATATTTGGGGGTAAAATTGCCAGAACTTGGTAATGCGTGGAATGTGGGGCTGAGAGAGAGGAGGGGGAAAGAAGCAGGAGAAACTGGCATTCTGAACCTAATCTCCCCAGCAGCCTCTGTAAGCCACCACTCTTTTTCCTTTCCCCTTTTCTCAGTCAAGCACTAAGCTTTTGCTGGGTGCGGCTGTGTCTGGCAACAAGCTGAGGACTCAGCACTGTAGGATGGGACTGAGGAGATAACGTCTGGGCTTAGTCCTGGGTCCACCACTAACTCCCTGTGTGACCTTGGACAAGACACTTAGGCTCTCTGAGCCTCATTTTCCCACCTGGACAGGAATAGTAAGTCCCTACGCCATCAGGTTGTTATGAAGATCAAATCAGACCATGTCTGTTAAGAGTTAGAGGCAAGACCAGTGTGAGGCCTTGGCCCCAGTAGGTGACCCTCACTAAGGACGAAAGAGGATCTGGCGCCTGGGATAGAGCCTTTCCAGGGGAGTGTAGGTGGAAGCAGGGAGATGGCCTCCAGCTATGGGATCCCTGTGACCTGGAGACCAGACAGAGCTGAGAGGGCATTTGCCCCTCTCCAGGCAAGTTCAGTGCCTCAACCTAGCACCCAGCTCAGAGCCAGGCTGGGGCAGACCCCAGCTTTTGTCCCTAGAGATGTTCTGGGATTCATGTCCAGGCCCACTTAAGGATGGAGGGCCAGGTGAGGTCTAGAGAGGAGTCAGGCTGACTTTATCTGCTGATGGCTCTAGGGAGTGACGTGGGGAGGAGCTGCCTGTGCTCTTCTTGTTGTTGCCAGCTGACTGGCTTATTGGTAGGTGGCAGTGGTGGGAATTAAGAGGATGGAATCCACTGACAGCTTCTGATATTTATGACCCCAGGTCTGAAATCTGAAGATAATAAAAATATTAACAGCTATTGTCCAAAGAGCACCCACTGTGTGCCAGGCTCACTGTGCTAAATGCCTTTCATACTCTGCTCACAACAACTTTTCAGATAGTACTATTATTATCCCCATTTGATGGATAAGGCAACTGAGGCCTAGAAGGGTTAAATGACTTACCTAGGGTCACATAGCTGTTAAGTCACAGGATCTGAGCCCAGCTGTATTTCGCTGTAGGGCCCAGTCCTAATCACTGTACACACTGCCCCCCAGTTCTGTGGCTCACCCTTTTTTTAATCCTCACCGAGGATATATTTTTATTGATTTTTTAGAGATATAGGGAGAGAGAGAAACATCCATGTGAGAGAGAAACATCAATCTATTACTTCCCATATGTGCCCCGACCAGGATCAAACCACAACCTAGGAATGTGCTTGACTGGGAATCGAACCCAAAACCTTTTGGTGTATGGAACGATGTTCCAAGCAACTGAGCCACCTGGTCAGACTGTGACTTTTTGTATCCCTCATACCCAGGTCCCCTGAGCAGCAGCATCATGCAGTAGTCGGCTCTGGACTGGAGAGCCTGGGACCTCTACTAGAGGTATAGGGAGAGAGAGAAAAACATCCATCTGTTACTTCCCATATGTGCCCCAACCAGGATCAAACCACAACCTAGGAAGGTGCCCTGACTGGGAATCGAACCCAAAACCTCTTGGTGTATAGAACAATGTTCCAACCAACTGAGCCACCCGGTCAGACGGTGACCTTTTGTATCCCTCATACCCAGGCCCCCTGAGCAGCAGCATCATGCAGTAATCGGCTCTGGACTGGAGAGCCTGGGACCTCTACCCTCACCCTCTCTCTGTTACTAGCTTGCAGTGAGCTTGGGCAGGTCACCTCCTCTCTCTGGGCCTCAGTTTCCTCATCTGTGAAATGAAAGGGCTGGAATGAAAGACTGTTAAGATCTCAGCTTGGAAATCCCACAATTCCCATTCTAGGGTGGAGCCTGTACGACCTAGGATCAGTCACCTCAGCTTTCTGAGCCTCAACTCCTTTGTCTATTAAATTGGGGGTGTGACACATACTTCTCTCTCAAGGCTATTGTAAGGAATAAATGAGACAATATGTTTAAAGTGCTTTCTCCCACGTATTTGCACATGCATGGGGGCACACACACACCCTCTTTGCTCTCTGTCTCTCCTCCACAGCCCTGCTGGCCTACTGGATGCTGGCCTTCATCACCAAGACCATCAAGTTTGTCAAGTTCTATGACCACGACATCGGCTTCTCGCAGCTGCGATTCTGCCTCACGGGGCTGCTGGTTATCCTCTACGGAATGCTGCTGCTCGTGGAGGTCAATGTCATCAGGGTGAGGGTAAGCAGGCCCCTCCTGGGCTGCCCCCTCCCCCAACCTGAGGACGCACCTGGGCTAGGGCGGGGCTCCTGACCAGTGTCCTGCTTCTTAGCCAGGTCCTGGAAGTCAGCTTGTTTCACCTGCCTCAGCAAGGGGCGCTGAGGCCAGTGTCAGAAGTTTCTGGAGCAACATTCCATCTGGCCCAGCTGCCCAGAGGGAAGGAAGGTGACAGGATGTGTTAGCAAGGTTATAGGATTCTGCACTTAATCCCACAGAGGGGAAATAAAAGCTTCAGGCACTGCCTTCTCCAAGTTTGTTTGATTATTTTTTCAGGGGGAGGGGAGGGATGATACTTGTTTTTATTTTAATGTGTTCATATAGTTACACATATATGTGAATGAGTCAATGTGGCTGCATACATGTCTTTTGTTTTGTTGTCATTTTTGCTTGCCCCCTTTACTCTCTAGGATCATCCCCTCCCCTAGCCTCCCTGTCCCTCCCTTTCCTTTCTCAGGTAATCCAGATTAACAACCTAATCTGTGATCTTCCATTCTTTGTTTTTATTAATATAATAGCATAAACTTCTATCCAGGGTGTTTTTTTTTCCTCAACACACACACATATATAGAGTATCCCCAAAAAATGTATACACACTTTGAGTAATTATTAATTCCAATGGGTTAAATCTGAAAAGAAAAAAAACATCAATTGAGTAATCACAAAAAAAATGTGTATACATTTTGGGGGGGAGGGGTACTCTGTATACACGCACACACACAGTTTTTTCTCTCAATATTTGTTTTATAAAAAATGGGATTATATTACAGTTTTCTGCATCTTGCTTTTTTCATCCAACAGATATCTCTTAGGACTCCCCCCAAGTGTAGTATGGCTATTTTGTTTGCTTAATGGCTGCATAATATTCCATCATGTGGTTGAGCCATAATTTTTCAGCCATTACCCTATTAATGGGCATTCATTTTGTTGCCAAGTTTTTGCCTCCACAAACAATGGTGTATTAAACATACTTACTATATCTTTATGTATTGCTGCTTTTATTTCTATGGGAGAGAGTCCAAGGAGTTGAGTTGCTGGTTCAAACACTCTGTGTATTTTAAGTTTTAATCATTGTTGCAGATCACCTTCCAGAAAAGCTGTAATCTACCAGCAATAAATAAGAAAACCCTTTTCCTTCCTCCAACCAGCACTGGGGGCTACGGCCATTTCTCATTTGGGCCAGTCTGATGAGTGGGAAATGCTACTTCAATGTGCATTTCTCTGACTCCTCTGTTTTTAGTTGATTTGTAGGGTATAAGGGTTTCCTACATTCCCTACCTCAACTGACCCTCACAGCATCCTCTATGATGCAAGCACCACCCCCTTTGTAGATGAAGAAACATTTTAGATAAGATTTGTCCAAAAATTTAGTAAGTGGAAGAGGCAGGATTCGAACCCAGGTCTGCATGGCTCCATGTTCTGGAAACTTTGTTTGTTGATATCCTCCCATTTGTGGAGAAGACAGCATATGGGGGATCTCTGCTCTCCCCCAATCTCACTGGAACCCAGCCCAGCCCAGGGGATTCAGAGAGCCCCAGTGAAGAGTCAGGAGGCCCTGGTGTTGGTGGCCAAAGGATTGAGTGTTCCTTTTCCTGGAAATAGGCAAACGATGGTCCCATTTGATAGAGGGTGGGAGTCATAACCCCAGGTGTTTGCTGCTGGGGCCACTGGAGAGTGGGGAGAAGTTGCACTTGCCCATCCCCAGTGGCCTGTGTGCCCCACAGAGATACATCTTCTTCAAGACGCCGAGGGAGGTGAAGCCCCCCGAGGACCTGCAGGACCTGGGGGTGCGCTTCCTGCAGCCCTTCGTGAACCTGCTGTCCAAAGGCACGTACTGGTGGATGAACGCCTTCATCAAGACTGCGCACAAGAAGCCCATTGATCTCCGCGTTATCGGGAAGCTGCCCATCGCCATGAGGGCCCTGACCAACTACCGGCGGCTCCGCGAGGCCTTCGACGCCCAGGTGGTCAGTGGGAGCATGGCCACACCATCCCTTCCCTGCCCTCTGGTTTAGAGTCACAGATGGGATCCTCAGAAAGCATCAGATCAAACCCCAGGGGGGACAGGTGGGGAAACTGAGGCCTGGGAGGGGAAGAGGTTTGCCCCAAGTCACACAGTGAGCCCGGGACAAGTCCAGGGCCACTGAGCCATAGGGCAGTCATAGCTGGAATGGCCCTTATAGTTTAGGTCATCCAGTCTAACACCCTCAGTTTCCAGGTGGGGAAACTGAGGCCATGAGAAGGGTAGTGACCCCACTGGATACCATATGTCCTGTGCTCTTCATCAGTGATTAACGGTGGGAGTTTTCACTCGTTTTGGAGAGCAGGACGTTAGTGGCCTGATCCTATGAGTTGGGCCAGAAAAGGATCTCCCCACATCACTGAGTAGGAAACTGAGGTCCTGGGAAAGGCCATGACCTCCTCAGAGTTGGTCCACCGCTGGCAGGTATCAGAGCCAGTCGTCCGACTCCCAGTTCAGTGCTCCTTCGCTGCCTCTGCCCTGGCATGGTGGGAAAACACCGAGGCAGATGCGCTGGCAGGCGAGAGCGAGTAAGTGTGGCATGTGCCACTCCTCATTACAGTGTTATGCTCATCACATAGTCCCTGACAGCTGTGTGACCTTGATCGATATTCTGGCCTCAGTTTCCCCATCTGGACCATGTTGGCATTGATGGGCCCACCCACCTAGGCACTTGGTGGTTCCATGATCTCTTCCTGGAGTTCATCTGTCGGCAGCAGACATGGCCACCAGGTTTCCCCAGGCAGCAGGAGCCAGGGGTTTCCTGGGATGCTGGGCCCTCAGCCGCTCTGACCTGGCCGTGGGTCTCTCTGGGCAGCGGAAGGACACACAGAGCCCACAGGGCGCCCGGGCCATCTGGCGGGCCCTCTGCCATGCCTTCGGGAGACGCCTGGTCCTCAGCAGCACTTTCCGCATCTTGGCCGACCTACTGGGCTTCGCCGGACCCATGTGCATCTTCGGAATCGTGGACCACCTAGGGAAGGAGAACCATGTCTTCCAGCCCAAGGTAGGTCCCCCAGGGGTAGAGCAGGGCACCCTTTGGAAAGTTTTCACTGGTGGGTGAGGACGTGCCAGAGGCCCACGTGTGTGAGCTGTGGCTGCTGTAGGGTAACTCCTCACACATGCACAATACCGCTCCTCACTTGGCAATATGCCCATCCAGAAGATGCTCCGCATCGGTCCACAGAAATGCCCGGAGGCGAGCTTGTGCCCCAAGAGGATTTCTGGAGCCCTGCTCTGCTCCTCATGCCTTCACCACCGGAATAGCTCTCCCGGTTACTTAGTCGCTGAGAAAGTTGCAGGAAGTGCATTTGTGTACTCAGGGTCAAGAGCTTTTATGACTTGTTGGCTTTTAGTTCATGTCACCTTAATAGACTCTCAGTACCTGTTCAGGGATCTGTCTTCCCCCGTTCTGCATATCCATAGCACCCGAGGTTCTGCAGGGACCTGGGGGCTGCTGTTGGGGGAAGGAACATGGAAAATCCCCATGCCCAGGGCTTTTTCTCCCCTGATCCAGAGTTCATTCAGAGCTTCCCCAGTTTTATTAATATGTTAGACTTTCCCATTGAATTCTTTTTTCTTTTTCTTTTCTTTTCTGTTTTGTTTTGCTTTGTTTTGTTAATCCTCACCCAAGGGCATTTTCCCATTGATTTTTAGAGAGGGACAGAGACACACAGAGAGAAACATCGATGTGAGAGAGACACTTCGATTGGTTGCCTCCCGCACTCTTGGATCGAGCTTGCAACACTTCAATCCGCAGGCCGATGCTCTATCTGCTGAGCCAAACTGGCTAAGGCTGAATTTATTTTTTAAAGAGTTTCATGTCTTGAAAATATTTGAAATCCATTGGACTAGACGATATCCACTGGCCTTTCCAGCTCTAAAGATGCTACAAACTGAAAGAGACAAAAAGTCTTTCTGGATAATTATTTTCCCTGCTTGGTGCTGTAGCAGTCACCATGGGTGGGAGGTGGGATACTTAATTCTTTCACCTGTTTCTTTGCTGCCACTTGGGTTTAGATGGACACAAGATAGAAAACTTTTCACCTCTAATAAGACTCAGTGTTTTATTTTCCCAGAAAGAACATTATTATAACCTTTTAACCACAAACAGTTCAAAAATGATGTAGAGAATGACTAGCTAGAGATCTTAGTAATTTATGACACTCCCTTGTGCAATGTTATTCATCTCGAGGACTCTAAAATTGCAGATAGCAGTTAATTCTCTGGAGGTTTATATTAATTTTTTCTTGAGCTATAATTAATCAGCTGAGCACTTTGGGTCAGGGATATGAGACACTCCAAGTCTGTTTGTCTGATTTATTCAGCAAATATTTATTGAATCCTGCTATGTGTCAGGCCTGGGTTAGGCTGTGAGAATACAGACAATGGTTATGATGAGGACTATCAATATATATAAAAGGCTAATATGCAAAGTGTCCCCGTGGGAGTTTGACTGGGAGGCCAATTCTATCACTCTCTATGACATTTGCTGACCACTAGGGGGCAGCGTGGAATGAAGGAAGGCCCCATCTGGCAGCTGGCACCCAGGGAAGGGCGGCCCCAGCCAGCATCCAGAAGGAAGGCCTCGGCAGGCAGCTGGAAGGCCCCGATTGGCCCTGATTGCCGGCCAGGCCTAGGGACCCTACCCATGCACAAATTTTGTGCACCAGGCCTCTAGTCTATGTAAAAAAGCCTAAGCGACCGTTACAGCAGAATGACCAGAATGACCGGGCAGGAAGCCAAGCGGTAAGGAGCAGTGAGCAAGCAGGCAGTAAAGAGCAAGGGGTGCTGGACATCCCCCAAGGGATTCTGGACTGTGAGAGGGCACAGGCTGAGCTGAGGGACCCCCCACCCCCAGTGCACGAATTTCATGCACCAGGCCTCTAGTAAACAATAATAACACAACTTATTGACTGCTTACTATATGCCTGGCTGTGTGCAGGAGTGATCCATGTATTATCCCATTTAATCCCCAAAACAACTGTTTAGGGTATTTTTTATAACAGCTTTATTGAGATGTAATTCACATACCATAAAACTTATGATGTAGGTATTCTTATCCCCATTTTACAGATGAGTAACTTAAAGCTCAGAGAGGCTAAGTAACTTTCCCTGGGGCCCTCAACTAGTGTGTGACAGAGTCAGGATTTGCACCAAAGTCTCTTTCCCCCCATAATCTGGGCACTTACAATTATGAGGCCATCACCTCTGACTCCGAGAAATCTGAATCAAATATTTTTATATTGTGTGTTAAATACTACTCTTAGGGGGCATATACAGGGAACTATGAGAAGATGGATGACTAACTCAGCCAGTGGTCTTGACAGCTTTGTAGAGAAAGGGGTATTTGAATGGGGCCTTGACAGGTGAATAGGAGTTGGTCAGGCTAAGGTGGGCAGATCTCTTGTTTAATCAAGAATGTGAGGACACCTTTTGCTTATTGAGACTTCAATGGCTTCTGAGGCTTACTCTGGCTTTTGAGCATCTGAACTTTATTGGACCCAAAGGAGAGGGGAAGAGACTGCTTCTCTTGTCCACAGGACTGCCATCTTTTAGCTTAATTCTAGTCAGAAGTGACCCCGGATCACTCGACATTGGTAATCCTGTAGCAACATGGAGCCAGTTTCTAATATCAGAAGGAAGTGGCTCAGGCCAGAGCCCTTGTCTGCTTGTCCACATCGTCTTCTTCTTCCTGTGTTTCCCCAAAATCTTGTGGAATTCTCCTGAGGAGAGAGCTCTGAGGCAGGATGTGCCAAAGAGATGGTGAGAACAGCACTTAGATGTCAGTTCATCTGACACTAGTTTTGCCTTCTCTTTTCTCTTTATTTAAACACAAACCTGGACTTCGCTGCCCTCTCATTGGAATGCGCTTGTCCCAGTTACTCGCCAGCACCTAAGTCCCTGAGACCGGAGGCCCTGCCTCCGCAGCAGCAGGCCTTACACATTTAACATATGTTCTCTGAGGTCCAAATGCAATCAGCAAATGACACACACAGAGATGAGAGTTGAAAGTAAATGTAGCCTCTACTGTCAGCAACGAAGAATCCTCAATCAAGTGGTTGACTGGGATGTGGCTTACTTCTCATTTGGGCTTCTGGGCCCAGAAAATGCGGGGAAGTGGTCATGTATTGAGGTCATTTGGTTCATGCCCCTGCCTCCCAGCAGCTCTCACCCAGAGAGACAGATGCTATCCTGGTGTTTATGTACCAGCAGAGAGGGACGCTCTAGCTACACATTGCAATGTTTAAACCTCTCGGTGAGAAAGCCCTTCTTTCTGCTTAGCCGTATCCACCTGCTGAAGCCTGCACAGCCGGGCACCAGTGCTTGCTTCACTATCAGTGGCTGCCCTGCCCCCTCCTCCCTGTCCAGGACACTCACAGTGGGCAAGAGTCACCGCCCTTGGCATCTGCAAGGACAAACATTTCTTCTTTCTTCTTTAATGACCGGACGTGTCCCAGGGCCTGACAAATCTTTGATGCCTCTGTCCCCTCTGCCACTTGCCAGGAAAAGCTAGGACCCAGGCTGGGCACAGCCCACGATATATCTTTTTCCAGTGCCCTCTCCTGCCCAACCCCCACCCACAATCTGTCACCTGCCATGGATGCCACTGATCTGGCTAGAGGATGAGGAAATTGGATTCAAAAGAACTGCTGGTATCTGAAACCTGCCAGCACTGCTCTAGGCTGTCAGCTGAACAGAGAAACGGTCTGGGTATGGTCTCAGAGCCCGAGCTTTGAATGGCCTCTAAATCTCAGAGAAAAAACGTGTAGGTTTGTGACCGTGTGTGTGCTTGTTTCTGAATGAGTTCTCCTGGAACTGCTTGTGTTTCTATCTGTGAGTCCTTTGTGTTGCCCCTGTGTCTGTTGGTATGTCTTTTTCTCTGTAAGTCTGCGTCCCCATTTGAATGCCTGTATTTGTGGCTATCACTATGGGTGACTTTGTGAACGTATATGCATTCCTGTGACTTTGTGAAGTTAGTGTGTGGCAGCTCCCATGCCTCTGCTCTGGCCTGAGGTGTCTTTCCTTCCGTCCTTCACCTCACTAACCCCTTCTCAGCTGCCAAGACCCAGCTCAGATGTCACCTCCTCCAGGAAGCCTTCCTCTGGCTGCATGAGCTGGCCCTCCTCTGT